TCTGAATTGTCTAATATTTATATAATTGTTATATTTTTATGAAAGCAAAAGAGATATATCTGTAGAAGACACGGTTGAAAATGGTTTAAAAAATAATGTGTAATTGGTAACTTTGAACTTGTAAAACTGTGAGTAATATGTAATAATAATTTAACAGTGAAAATGAGTCTGACGGATTTAGGTTTGTGCCGATTCTTGAGGTCTATGATATTTTTTTCCAACCGATTTTGCTGGCATATTTTATATAAGATAAGACCTCTAAGGTGTGAAAGGTTTTCAAAAAATATGACCACACCTTTTAGCACCTATATAATATTTTCGTCTGATTTTCTCACTTTTTTCTTTGAGTTTGGAATTTTCGAGTAAATATTTCCTGTAAGCTGCTTTCAATTATTTCAATGGCCTTTAGATTAAAAAACAAACCAAAAAAAATTGGACTATCCAAAAATTTGCGTTTCGAGTTTTTCGTTTTCATGGGAGTAAACTTTCGGCGGATTAAATGACGCGATTTCTGGTGTCCTGTTATATGTTATATATATATATATTAATTAAAACTTATTTTATTTCTTAAGGAATTTTTAGGAACCGATTCGCGATCCGTCTTTTGTCTTTATTTTAATGCTTTCAGACACAATTTCCAACCAATCAAAAGCAAGTTCATAGTAGGAAGAATGATTCCTTGTGGAGGTTCAATAAAGAACCTTTTTTGTTTAGTCCTCTCAATTTTCATGATATAGAGGTTTCTAGTGATCGTCCTGGAAGGTGTACAGGGTGAGATAAAAAAAACCGCAATAAAGTCAAACGCCATAATTTTTAAAATTTTTGCAGTATTTTGGCCCATTCCCGACGAAGCGCTTGCTTGAGGTAATCGACACTTTTTTTAATGCCAACCTTGCTTTCCTAAAAACTCCAGACACAATAGTCCAACAGATTGGTATCCGGAGATTTTCTGAGTGCGATGGTGCTGAGTGCTGTTGGAATGTCCAAGGTCCCTCCAGAAAATTTTTGCGATAATATACGTCATTTATTCTGATTAATACGAGCGACCATCGTCTGTTATGGTGGCCAACGCCATCACCATGGCCGGCGCTTGAGGTCTGGTGGCCCACCGAAGGTGCACATTTTCAGCTGACCTCTTTGACAATTAAATATGATCATTTTGTTTGTTTACAAACTGCAGGACCACGAATGTTTTCTCATCGGAGAAAACCAAATTCGGCGGTTTACCACTTTCTGTCAAGCAAGCAACTCTTTAGTTCTTTTGAGTATATTTTCTTTCTGTTGTGGTGAAAGTTCATTTTTTTTTTTTTTTTTTTTGAATTTACCCCGAGCTCATTTTTCAATATTTGCGAATGGAGTTTACGATATGTTCAGCTCACGAGCCATTTTTCGGTCACTGCGACGCGAGTTTCGTTTAAGTCGCTTCTTTACTTTTCGAACCTTTTCCTCTGATGTTGCTGTTTTCTTCCGTCCACTTCCTTGACGTCGGGCTACGCTACCAGTATCTCGGTAACGAGCGATGGTACGATACACAAAAGATCTATTCACATTCACATTCAAATGCTGGAGTGCTCTAACGATAGTCACTGTGGTTTTCCAGCCAAATATAACGAAATCTCACTATCACCCTTCAATTCCATCACAAATAACTTTTTTTCTGAAAAATTCTTGCCAAAATGCTTTTGTACGCTTGTAAACAATATAATGAGCTGTCACTGGAATAATTTTAACACCTGTCGGACGAGTGGCTTAGTTATGACAGCAGTCTAAATATGGTTGCATTTTTTTCATCTCACCCTGTATATAGTTCGTCCCGTCTGGTTTTAATTTGTATACCCTCAACCATAGAATATGGTTATGGGTATGTTACGTTTGTCTTTCCGCGTTAAGCTCTTGGAATGAATTTATTTTGTGTCTGTAGGATTTTTGGTAATAAAAATGGGTCATGTAGGTCCACGTTTTTGTAGCCCCCATGAGTCACATTTTTCACTGGATTTGGTTTAAATTTGATATTTTTCCTTATGGCAAAAAATTGCCTATACAGGTCCACATCTTCTTTTAGCCCCTTGATAGTTTTAAGCATACTTTTCAACAGAATTATCCCAAACTTGGTATTTACAGTTCGAAAGAGGCTCCGGCTTTTCTGACATGTACTTGGCTATATACGTCCACGTTTTCGTATTTCACCGTATAAATCTACCACCTGATATTTTGAATTTTAGCGAAATTTTTAAAAGGTTGTTTACACTTTTCAAGATATTTCCAAAATATGTTCGGCTTGAACCTAACTTATTTTTCCTTGTTTAATATACAATTTCATTTAATAAGTTAGCTAATATGTTAAATAGTTTCAAGAGCAACAATTTTTCAAAACCAAACTACAATTTTATTTGAATTAGAAATTCAATTCACGACCCAGTTTTTATTTTGTTTTGTGTTTTATTGTGACCGAAACATACGTAAACAAATATTTGTTTGGTATGGAATGCACGAATGCCAAGAAGATATGACTCATTCACATGATTATTTCATAAAACTACAAATCCAAGAAAAAAACAAAAACAAAAACACAACAACAAATTCTTTAATGTCTAAGACACTAGACAAATATAAATTTTCGTTATTTGGGATTTTCCAAAAGAAAGTATTTACAATGAAAAAGGGAATTAAAGGGTTAGAGAGTGATATTTTTAGCATTTCATAGATTTTATTTTTTTATCATTCTTCATAAAATTTTAAAAGCTCCTTAACTGGAATATGGCAAGAATATTATATACCAGGCCTATTATATGTGCAAATATAAGCTGCACAGGTTGAGATGAAAAAACTGCAACCAATTTCAGACTGCTGTCATTTTTAAGCCAGCTATTAAAATTATTCCAGTGACAGCCCATTATATTGGTTACAACAGAACCAAAGCATTTTGATGAGAATTTTCCAGAAAAAAAGTTATTCGGGAAGGAATTAAAGCGTGATAGTGTGATTTCTTTATATTTGGCTGGATAACCACAAGTGGCTATGGCACCCCAGCATTTAAATGTGAATAAATCTGTTGTGTTTCGTACCATCGCTCGTTATCGTGATACTGGAAGCGTATCCCGACATCAAGGAAGTGCACGGAAGAAAACAGCAACATCAGCAGAAATGGTTCGTAAAATAAAGAAGCGACTTGATCGAAACCTGCGTCGCAGTGGCCGAAAAATGGCTCGTGAGCTGAAAATATCGCAATATTCCATTCGACAAATATTGAAAAATGAGCTCGGAGTAAAGCCATTGAAATTGCAAAAAGTGCAAGAACTTACACCGCAACAGAAAGAAAATAGACTCAAAAGAGCTAAAGAGTTGCTTCGCTTGACCGAAAGTGCTGAACTGCCGAATTTGGTTTTCTCCGTTTCCGATGAGAAAACATTCGTTGGTCAGCAGTTTGCGAAACAAAATGAGGTTCCTCGCTTCATTTCCATCGCACAATGGCCACCAAACTCTCCGGATACCAATCCGTTGGACTATTGTATCTGGGGTATTTTGGAAAGCAAGGTTGGCACTAAAAAATATCAAAGAGTCGAACACCTCAAGTAAGCGCTTCGCCGGGAATGGGACAAAATACAGCAGAGCAACAATCGGGCAGCGTGTGACGTTTTCATTGGCCGTTTGAAGGCCATAATTCGTGCCGAAGGTGACCAATTCGAGCAAAACTAAACTTATTTTAAATTTTGATGCTATTTTCGACATTTTTTGCTTTCGTTCAATAAAATTAAAAAAAAAATTGAAAAAGTATGGCTTTTGACTTTGTTGCATCTTTTTTATATCACCCACCAACTGTGGAAATAAAAAATACCGGACATATGTTCTGTCGGCAATCCTTATCCATAAAAAATAGAAAAGTCCTCTTTATTTGAACTCTCATGTAGCCAAACTACAAAGTAGAGATCAATTTTGAAATTTAAAAGTGTGTTCGTATTTCGGCTGTGTCAAATGATACCTTCGAACTTGGTTATATACATTTATATGCCTTCATTGTACCTACGTCACCTCTATTATATTTTACTGAGATATTTCTGAAGAGTTAGGTACCTGTGTCCTGGACTCATTAGATAAATAAGCAACATTTCTACTTTTGTTCCTGATATTCCCTTGGATGTTCAGCGAGAAAGAAAGAGAGAACAATGGAAAAAGGAGAAACGACGATCAAGAACAACACCAAAGTAAATAAGGAAAAACAGTTTACACCTGCTGCACAACAACCGCCGCTGACTTATTGTGGTTGTCGGTGTTATTCTACCATTTGTTTGGACCGAAAACTACAACAACAAAAATGGTGGACGAAAATGAAATCGAAAACAATAAAAAAAGAAAAATGTGCACAAAAACACCAAAAACACAACACAAGTGGCTGGCGGCTGGTCGCATCTTATCGGCCAAAAACCAAGGTGTCTTAAAGATTTTCCTACAGCCGCCAACAAAATCAGAGAGAGAGCAGGAGACCAACTCAGATATGAGAGTAAAAGAGTGTACAATTATTGATGTTTGTCTCGAGTTTTGTTGTTGCCGTTGATTTTAGTTTAGGGCAAATAGTCGGCACAAAGGTTGGCAACAAGCGAAAACGACAAAAAGAGAAAAAAATAAACAAACAACAAAACATGAAAACAAAAACAACAACGGTGATGTCGACCAGACACCAGAGAGTGGTTAAACCGGAATTTTTATTTTGTCTCTGTGTGTTGTTGGTCTGTCTATCTGTCCGTCCGTCCCTCCGTCTGTCAGCCAGTTATTACAGCAACAAGGTATTGAAAATTGAAAGAAAAAAACTAAAGAATTTAAAAAAAAAAACACAAACGACGAAGGAGTTGTTCTCCTGTAAGGTGGTTGAATGTTATTTGGTTGGGTTTCGAAAGGTAATCCAGTAACTGAAGTGTGGAAATTATCAACAGTCATCGAGAGACGCAACCGACTGCTGAGAATTTCGTAAGAAAAATTCTTGAGATTACAAACATGTGTTTTACCTTTAGTTTGTCTTCGTCGCTTTACTTATTGGAGTTTTGCAACACATTCGCAGACAGGCGTTGATGATTTTGTTAATTTTTTCCTTTACCTTTTTGCAACAATACTAATACACACACACACACAAACATTCAATGTGTCGACACATGGATAATTATCACTTTTTAATCTTTTTCCAATGCTTGTAGAAACATTTTATTAACACCTTTTTTTTTGGAGCTCGTTGATGGAGGGGCTATGCTAGCCAGGCTATTGGTATCGACCACTGGAGGTAGTCTGTCTGGCCGCCTTCACGATACACAACGAAACAAATAAAACGGAAAAAGCACTACAGCGCCAACCAAACACATCACTTGTCAAAAACTAGCATTATTCTTTTCTTTTGTTAACTTCTTTCTTTTTTGCACTCTCTTTCATTGATTATTCATTCACCTTTTCCAGCTATTCGTTTGTTATTATTATCATTCGAACTAAAATTTCGTATTTTATTTATTTTTGCATATCTTTGCCTAACATTTTTCATCCACAACAAGCGGCAAAAGCTTGGAAATACACACAACAGAGTAATAAAGGTAACAACAATAGAACGGCATAAATAAATAAACACACATCAAAGTGTTTGGTGAGAGCGAAAGAGACACAAACGCACGCACGCACTCACACGCTTTAATACGTCGAAAGAACAACGGACACGAAACACGCCTAACCGTCTACACTCGGCGACGAACGGATAATTACTAAAGTGATGCCAACACAAATATCATAGCATTCTCCCTGTTTGCGCTTTGACGGGCTCCCAACACAGACAACAGCAACAAAAATAACAGAGACAACCCCACAAATATTGTTCTCTCGCCTGAAAGAAAAGTGCTGCCAAGTTGGAGGATGTTAATGTTGATATTTGTTTGAGAGGCAAGAAATAGAAGTGTGTTGTGGTCAAAACAAAATAGAAAAATAGCATGAGAGAGAAAAACAAAGGGAGAATATGAGATTGTATGACATGGAATAAATAAGTGTGGCATTGCCAGATAGAAAATATTGAATCAGGTAGGAATATCAAACTGTAAAAGAATTGTAGGCAGTGCAATCCGTTAGAAGTTCAAACAAGTGGGATATATGGAAAATTATAGAGCATCACAGAAGTAAAATAAACAAAACATCAGTGTTAAAACAAATAAAAGAGGCGGTAAATGTAAAATCTCTATAATTTAGGGATATAAATACAGGTTTAATATGTACAAACAAAATGAATATTTTTGCCGGAGAGTTTTTTGAACCAGCAGATTCAATTTAGCTCATTAGATCGTGATGATGATGTGAATAAATCCTTTGTGTCTCGTACCATCGCTCGTTATCGTGATACTGGTAGCGTAGCCCGACGTGAAGGAAGTGGACAGAAGAAAACAGCAACATCAACAGAAATGGTTCGAAAAGTAAAGAAGCGACTTGATCGAAACCCACGTTGCAGTGGCTGAAAAATGGCTCGTGAGTTAAACATGTCGCAAAATTCCATTCGGCAAATATTAAAAAATGAGCTCGGGGTAAAGCCATTGAAATTCCAAAAAGTGCAAGAACTTACATTGCAACAGAAAGAAAATAGATTCAAAAGAGCTAAAGAGTTGCTTCGCTTGGCCGAAAGTGGTGAACTGCCGAATTTGGTTTTCTCTGATGAGAAAACATTCGTTATCCAGCAGTTTGTAAACAAACAAAATGCTAGTGTTTACTTGCCAAAGAGGTCAGCGAAAAATGTGCACCTTCGATTGGCCACCAGAACTCAAGCGCCGCAAAGGTGATGGTGTGGGCCGCCATAACAGCCGATTGTCACTCTCCGCTCGTATTAATCGACCGTGGCATCAGAATAAATGCTGAATAGTATTAAAAAACAAACATTTTGGCCGCCGACCTTGAACATTCCAGCAGAACTCAGCACCATCGCACTCAGCCCGCGCCACCCAAGAATGATTACGAAATGAGGTTTCTCGCTTCATTTCCAGCTCACAATGGCCACCAAAATCTCCGGATACCAATCCGTTGCACTATTGTGTCTGGAGTATTTTGGAAAGCAAGGTTGGCACTAAAAAATACCAAAGTGTCGATCACCTTAAGCAAGCGCTTCGTCGGTAATGAGCCAAAATACCGCAGAGCAACATTCGGGCAGCGTGTTGCGGTTTCATTGGCCGTTTAAAGGCCATAATTCGTGCTAAAGATGACCAATTCAAACAAATCTAAACTTATTCTAAAATTGATGTATTTCCGATATTTTTTATAAATAAATAAAATTTGAAAAAAATATGTAAAAATTATGGCGTTTGACTTTGTTACATTTTTTATCTCTGTAGTTTGAGGAAATCGGAAAATGAAAGTCAAAATATCGACCGTTTATGAAGAAAGAACCAGAAGGAGTGTTACAGCCGATTATCACCCTTGAACAATGTTTGAGATGAATATTAAGAAATTTCAAAACAAGGCGGATTATTCGACGATTTATTTGAGATATAAAATTCATTATTAATTTTTGTTGGGGAGATAATAGGAGGTGTAGATCAATATAGTCCAGCTTTGTCCTGTATCAAGTATTGACAAAAATACTGGAATACGAATAACTTAAAATATATCTTTGATTCATTTAAATTTTACCAGAGGTTTGTTTATTAAAAATTTCGATTCATCTTGGGTAGTTACAACAAGGGGATTGATAAGTGTGATTTATATTTTAACCTATCCTATATCTGTAAAATGTTACGATATGTTTAGTTTGGACGTATTCCACTACTCAATAGCCTTTCTTAGTAATACTTAACTTTTATAGTTTTGTTATTTTTTACCATTTGCAGGGGGTATGGTCCGATGTTTTCCATTTTTGAAATTGAGCTAAGTTTGACAAGAATGTTAGGATGTCCAAAATTTTACGAAATAGGTTGAGTCAATATGTTGATCAGTAGTCTATCAGCCAGACAGGCATTTTTGCCGTATTCAAAATATATATTTTATAATTGTAAAATCAGAAAATTAGACAGATACAATCATTTTCCAAAACAGAGGTCTTCAACGTAATTCGATGATTGACAATAACACACTCTTAAAGTGTTGTCATCTCTCTTGTTAAGCAGCGCTTCTTCTCTGCAAGATACACATGTTGTGTTTACACATTTCGCATAGATACATTCTTTTACCCAAAGAAGTTTTGTATCATTTCTCGTTCACTATCATTCTAGCAAACATATTTTTTCAATTTCCTTTAGTTTTATATTTTTTCTCCATAAGCTTTTTTCCTTGCTCGCTTTCTTTGTTTTTCTTTTGTTCATCCCCATTATTAATGTTTCGCAATTCACTCGCATTTCACGGATTATGATGGAGGAACCAAAAGAAAAAAACACACAAACATGGTGCAAGAAATGTATACAGCAGCACATGTGTTTGTTTGTATCTCGACTCGTGAAAGTCTGCTTCAACAGTGTATTGACCTGAACTAAATTTAACCCCCTCCTCCGTAGCAGGCAGGCGATGGATGTAAAATCCTCGCAGCAAAGCGCCAGGAAGGTAGAATAAGAAAAACTTTACTCTTATCACTGGACAAAGTTTCACTGTTGTATACACACACGCCATGTGACTGACGGACTCGGTGGAAGGCAAAAAAAAAAAAAAGCGAGACGAGCAACAAAAACAACCCTTGCGGCTTTTTTTACAAAGCTGAGAATCGAAAAGTATCTACGAGGGTTTGTGATTTATAAATTAGAGCGGAGATTCATAACTAAAACTTTGGTTAACAGTTAAGAAGTCGAGATAAAAAGGAAATTTGTAAAGCCTTGAGGAAATGTTAATGTTTGCTTTTTTTTCTGCCGAGAAAAAGTAATAATAAATTGTTTTAGAGTTATCTTTCTGTAATAGTTTCTAAAAATAGTCAATGAAAAATGCCGGTAGTTTTTAAAGCGCAGTCGCCATAAAAGCGACATGGCACATGTCCTGGGCAGCAACAAAATATTGATAGCATGCTAATATTTTTGTTGCAATGATTCGGATTTTTATATCGTGCTATTTTACAATCGAATTCCAGAGCATTTTAAACTGTAATGCGAGCATTTTAAAGGGTTGCGTTATTTTAAACGCGTCAAGAACAGTTTGAAAGAATGTACATTTAACTTAGAAATATAACGGTTTTTCATTTAAATATATCTACTCACACAAAACGTATTAAACATAATTGTATTTACCTGAAATGAGAAGAAAAAATAAAATAATTACTATGAGATATATTTATGTACCATGTATAAAAGAATAGAGTGATAAGGACCAGGTCCAGGTGACATGGCTGAAATTAAAATTTTGAAATTTAATTTTCCTAAGTAGGGGTGAGATATTGGAGTTTTTTAAAAATTAAATTTAATTTGTAGTACCTTTCCTCCATTGTATTGATCAATGGATAAAGCTAGATGTATACAATTTGGAATGAGGGCTAGATAGATGTACTAAGCGAAATTCGAACTAAAAGTACTAAAGAGCACTAAATACAGTAACAATTGGCATTATATGAGCGGAATGAACTAAAGTTGAAATTTGGTTTGGGTGTATATAAGAAGGTGGTTTTGGAAATGTGTACTTAGTCTAAGAGCTGTACTAAATTGTACTAAATTTGGTAAAGTTTGGGTTTTGTTGAACTGTGGAGCTGGAAATTTTAAGTGGTGGCATTGGGTCACTATTACTGTGTAGGCATGAGATTTAACATGACCATTTTTGGAAATATGTACCAAAAAGGACTAAATGGTACTATATTTGCTACATGAGGAGGGGATAGAGCTGGAAATCTAAGACTTGCCATTAGGCCAATTTTTTGTGAGGTGAGGTTGAGATATAGAGGTTAATGGCGGAAATATAAACTAAAAAGTACCCAAGGTACTAAATGGTATTCGGGGATGGGATAAAGCTGAAATTTGATGGGATAAAGCTGAATTTTGTACTAAATTTAGTAGTAATAATAATCAATTTTAATTATGTGAACGGATGGTGGTAAAATCTTGAAATTTTTTTATACTCCTTTTGGGTTAAAATAAAGATACGGTGTCGAAAGTTTAGTACGAAAGAAAATAATGAAATTTAGTTAATACTTTTTGAATCATATGAAATTCTAAATTTTTGTATATAGGTATAAGCTATGGTAAAAAAAAGTTGTAATAAAAACAATTTTGGAAATTCGTATTAAAAGGACACAAAAAAGTACTGAGCTATTAAATATTTTACTATTAGTCTACTATGCGTACAGAATCGGTAGAGAAAATACAAGAATTAGTCAAAAAAACTGAATTTTTATACCCTCAGGCATATAGCTAGAGAAGGTATTGATGCGGCCAAAACGTGTCTCATCAAAATAATGATTTAAGACCCTAGGTTTCTTTGGACCAAATCCCTTTTAGGACATTTGGAGTCGATCGAGCAATGTCTGGATGGTGCACACGATAGCTCGCGAAGAGAGTATCCATTTTGGTCCAAACTTGGCACATCGTACTATTATTGTAAAACTCTGACAGAGCTCAGAGATGAGCAATATCGGACTACTCCTTCTGGTAACTCCCCCCCCCCAAAAGGTCGAAATTTTTTAGGGTATACTCATTGTGGTACCTCCCCCACAAAGGATCAACACTAAGAATAACCAAAACGATCATAAAATGCGATTTGAGCATCCATTTTTCTTCAAATTCCACAAATCCCAATATTTCTACTTTAGCAAGATGTGGTGGGCAGATGGAAA